GTCTCTATAAGCTTCAATATGAGGTCCTAAACCTACCATGAAAGTGTATCGTTGTACCTGTGTGGGCTAATATAGTAAAAATGTTTGCCTTGGGGTAAGTTGAGCCAATGGTGGAGCCTATGTTAAAAGTGTTTTAAAAAGTACAAAGTATTAGTTAGGTGTTAAGTCTGTGTTAAAAGATTATTAAAATAATTGAAAGACAATGTATCTCAATCTCTCCCAAACGCTTTGAAGATCATAGACAAATTCAGCTCCATCTCAAGTTATAAAATAAATCTAACCAAATCTGCCCTACTCCCCCTCAAGAACCCTACAGAGGACCCCATTTCTCTTATGGAATCCTAATCGTTTCCCATTTTAAATATTTAGGAATATATATATTTCCTTCTTTAGATGAAACCATTGTCAAAATCTTAAACAGAACACTCAAATCAATTAAATCAGACCTCAGTAGATGGATTAACATCCCAGTCGCTCTAACTGGCAGAATTTTGATTGTGAAAATGAATATGTTGGGCACAATGCTTCCTATGTCTCCCCCTTCTGGCTATTGGGATAAAATCCACAGTACGTTTTCAAAATGTATATGGAAAGGTAAGAGATACCGGGTTAAATTAAAACATTTACAGAGAGGGAAAGACACTGGAGGGCTATCCGTTCCAAACTCTAGCATTTCACCCAATTATAAATTGGTTTATACATAAGTCTTCCACTCCCTGGCTGAGAATTGAGAGAAATATGGTGGCTCCCATTGTCCTGGAAGAAGTGGTGTTCATTGATCTACGCTTTGGCCCAATCATTGCTCCCACAATTTCTATTTGGCACAAAATTGAAAAATGATGCAACTGGGAAACTAAATGGTAAGCCCAGACTCCAATATTTAACAATAATGCCTTGTCATCTGGAGGACGGCCTTTCACATCGCCCCAATGGTCCAAATGTGGTATCCGTACCCATGGTGATATCATGGATAGTAATTGTTAGAGGACATTCCAAGATCTGAAAGAAGCATTTATATTACCAGGTAACTCTTTCTTCTTTATCTCTAAATAAGGTCAGTTATGCTGGCCTATGAAGTTCCATGGGAAACCCAGCTGTTGAACCATCCAGTGATGGAATTTGCAAACAGATTATCTGGTCTCCTGAAAAGACTAATCTCTGTAATATATAAACTACTGGAAAGCTCAAACTAGCCTTAAAAAAATTATGGCCCACAGATCTAAATGTAACTGAATCATCCTTTAACTGGACCAGAATATGGCAAAATATAACCTTGGCATCCCGTAATCTGAACCCTAAATGTATTCATTTCAAGTTTGTTCACAGACTTTATCTAACACCCCAAACCAACTTCCAAATGTTCACTGTGTCCCCTAAATCAGGAAGGCACATTCCTTCATATGATGTGGGAGTGCCCTGCAGTTAAATGCTTTTTGGACAAAGTTGCAAAATGTATTTCAAAGAGCATAAATGTAAATATTCAATGCTCCCCAACCATTATGTTACATAATTATGATAACCACTTGAATCTCTCAATCAATCAGAGAAGATTACTGCTGGCAGGCAGCACTGCTGTGATATTATTGTCCTCACTAAGGTGGCAACCACCTTAGTGTCTCCCATTTAACCAGTGGATACAGTTACTATTAGAAGTTCTAACATTAGAATTATCGACAGCGAGAATGAATGGTGCTAGTCAAGGAACAATTGAGGCCTGGATAAATACTGTATACTTGACTCTTTTAAGAACAATGCCAGCTAAAGACCCACACATACAAACCAATTATATATATTTATTTAGACTTTTGTTACTTCAGAGGGGTTGGGTTAAATGCGGGAAGACACATTTCAGTTGAATGCATTCAGTTGTACAACTGACTAGGTATCCTCTTTTCCCTTCCTTTCTTTGCTTTCAGTGGGGGAGTGTTTTTTGTTTATTTTCTTTGCATACAAAATATTACAAAACTGGTGATACTGTTCTTTATACTACTTGTACTGCATTTCTCTGATTGATATTCTAGTTTTTTTCCTTCGAGTGGCAGCTCACAGATATTATTAAATATATGTGAAGATATGAAATGCAAATATAACTAAATATATGAATATATCTGAATGAATGATTTAGAATGTTATATTTATACCTGCACCTGTAAGTTGTAACCCCCTTCTGAAAATATGACTAACTAAATAAAAAGTTGGTCCCCCCCAAAAAAAGTATTTGTATAAAGGTAGTGGTAATATTTCATTCAGTACAGACATTTGTAGGTGGCTTAACTTACCCTGTTCCGCGGCTCAACTTACTCCATACCCGTGTTAAGTTGTGCCACAAGATAACTTTTTTTGAACAAGCTATGTTTTCAAAACTGTAATGTTTACATGAATTCTGATTATTTCCAGGGATACATATCATCCTGAAATATATGTAGATGTCGTTGTCAGAAAGAATACTATATTTCCCTTGATGGAGTGATGCTGAATGTAAAACATGTCTCAATTTACCCCACTCTCCCCTATGGCAATGACCTTTGGCATGACAATGACCACAGGAGTTGACTAGACAGTACAAACCAGGCTACACGGAACTCACTGAATAGATTCAATGTTGCAGAGTCTAGTCCAGGGACATGGAGAAGCAACAGCAGCCACAGAGGAGAAGAGATTCAACGCATCAGCATTTTCACCAGCCAGCTTGGGAAACTGACAAACAGATAAGCAATAGAATAAGAGGGAAATTAAAGAGGATTCTCACAGTCCAGTCGACATGCCTTATATGGTATTAACGGTTTAAAAAAGGCTATACCATAGAGATAGATAGAGGACTTTGTATCTGTGCCATTACAGCGCCTGTCACGATTGGCTGGTCCCTCCTGATGACCCGGTTGGACCTGACTCCAACAGGGTCACCAGGAAGGGATCAGCCCATGAAGTTGGAAGTCCCACCCAGTTGATTACATTAAAATGGTGGAAGCCCTCAATGGCGCTGCCCATGCCAACACAGCCTTTGGCCACTAGAGGCCTCTATCATTCTCTATGGGCTACACATAACTTTTGCCTCTGGGAGTGCTCTTGAGCCAAAAGTGGTCCTCTATATAGGCCCACCTTCACACGTCCATGAGCAAAAGCATTGGCCTAAAGCTTTAATGTCTATATAGTATACCATCTTCCCCAACAATAACAACCACCATTAATAGTTTTAGCTGATTCATTACATGTATTTATTTTCACTAAAGTAGCAACATTTTATTCTACACAAAAATGACCATGCTGTAGCAAAGTATCCAATAAAAAAATAATTAGTTTTGTGAAATACCTGCATTAAATAAGGCAACTGTGTCATACAGTCTATAATGCACTGTGCTATTTCTACTCCATACATTGTATAGTCACCTGGAATGCATTTCAATGAACAGGTGTGCATTCTTAAAAGTTAATTTGTGGAATGTATTTCCTTCTTAATGCGTTTGAGCCAATCAGTTGTGGTGTGACAAGGTATACAGAACATAGCTCTATTTGGTAAAAGACCAAGTCCCTATTATGGCAAGAACAGCTCAAATAAGCAAAGAGAAACAACAGTCCATCATTACTTTAAGCAATGAAGGTCAGTCAATACGGAAAATGTCAAGAACTTTGAAAGTTTCTTCAATTGCAGTCGCAAAAACCATTAAGCGCTATGATGAAACTGGCTCTCATGAGGTCCGCCACAGGAATGGAAGACCCAGAGTTACCAGCCTCAGAGTTACCAGCCTCAGAAATTGCAGCCCAAATAAATGCTTCACAGAGTTCAAGTAACAGACACATCTCATCATCAACTGTTCAGAGAGAACTGTGTGAATCAGGCCTTCATGGTGTGGTGGATATTTTAAATACTATCAAATGAGGAGAGGCAAACTTATCACACAAGTCAGAGTTATACTTAAACTAAATCTTTATTAAAATAACTTATCGATAAGGGAGCTGGTCGCAATACCCACACAACCAAGTGGAAAGAGTGAGAGCCCAACGAACAGGAAATGTCTTATATAGTGGCCCTAAAAAAAAAAAAAAATGCTTAGTCATGGCTGGTTCCACCCCCTACCCAGCAGATCAGGAGCTACCTTGTTTTCTTCTATGTGTATCGGGTCAAAGTGCACAAACAAGTGATAACGTTAGTTCCGTTACTACTCTTATCTCCACACAGCTGCGCCCTTGGAAGATAGTAAAAGACAGGATGAACTGAAAAACTGTGGTCACTCTGAGGCTCTTTGCCTTGTGACCAGGTTACTCAGAAGCAACGAGAAATTGAAACAATACAGGTCTATCTGTTCCTCAAGTTGATCTCTATCCCATGTCCTTGACTACACGCCCAGACCAGCTGCAGGGAGCTAGAGGGAACCATCCTTATGAAAAGCACAGCATCGGTAGTTAAGAAATGTCTCTACTACTGTTAAGCCTATTCATTGTTAACTATTCATATTAAACAAATCAGGTAAATACGTGATCTTTCTCTCACAATGGTCGAATTGCTGCATAGAAACCACTACTAAAGGACATCAATAAGAAGAAGAGACCTGCTTGGGCCAAGAAACATGAGCAATGGACATTAGACTGGTGGAAATGTGTCCTTTGGTCTGGAGTCGAAATTTGTTGGAAAAGCATTCCAGGTGAAGCTGGTTGAGAGAATGCCAAGAGTGTGCAAAGCTGTCATCAAGGCAAAGGGTGGTTATTTGAAGAATCTCAAATATATATTTGTTTAACACTTTTTTGGTTACTACATGATTCCATATGTGTTATTTCATAGTTTTGATGTCTTCACTATTATTCTACAATGTAAACAATAGTAAGAATTAAGAAAAACCCTCAAAATTGGCTATATCGTAAAAAATTTGCTTTAAGGTTAGGGTTAGGCATTAGGGTTAGCAGTGAGGTTAAGGTTAGGTTTAAGGTTAGGGTTAGGTTTCTAATCTGATTTTATGACTTTGTGGCTGTGCCAGCTAGTGCCTACTCTGCCTAGCTGCCTCCTGGGCAAGATTCATGACAATAAATGCTAACCAGACCCCCTGTGATTTCACAAGAAACGAAACATAGAGAATCCATTTACGGAAGTTCAGTTTTCATTACATTAGCAAATACTTCCACCCCTGTGGCTATATAAGCAGTGGAATTTCATTAGGGTTTTAAAAGAACCACGACGCACACAGCAAGACACCAAGAGGTAAGACATTTGAGAATCAGAATGTCATCTGTGGAAAAGCCAAAATTAACTATTGTCCTCAGTGCTGCATAAACAATACTGTTTGATTTGATTAGATATACTTGATTGTCTCTTGTACACATACATTTACTTTATGTATAGAAAATGGACTCCGTTAGAAATCAACAAAATGTGATATGATGTGTTATCAATACAATGTATGGAGTGGAAATAGCACAGTGCATTGTAGACTGTATGATCCAGTTGCCTTATTGAATGCAGGTATTTGAAGTGAAGCATTAGATTTTTTGCAGATACAGCATTACCTGTATTTTTGTGTAGAATAACATTTTGCTATTTTAGTACAAAAAAATGAAATGCAATTGTAATTAATGTATTGCATCAGCTAAAACGATTAATGGTGGTTGTTATTGTTGGGGAAGATGGTATAATATATAGACATTAAAGCTTTATGCCAATGGTTTTGCTCATGGACGTTGTGAGGTGGGCATATTTAAGCATGACACACACTGAGAATCGCACTGCCGATAATAGTGGGAGGACGTTCCTTCTCTTGCTAGAACAAACGCGGTACGTACTACGTACTGACCCGGTAGCGACGAACCTGCCGTTTCTACTTGTAGAATCGCAATGCTTGTCAGTATCAAACAACTTTCGCAATGCTCATCAGTGTCAAACAACTTGACTTTGAGCCAATCAGAGAGCCACAGGAGTGACAACAAACAGGAAAAAGAGGCATCCACGGTTAAATGTCATGAGCCAGTCACACTCCATATACAGTGCCGTGAAAAAGTATTTGCCCCCTTTCTAATTTTCTCTACTTTTGCATATTTCTGATACTGAATGTTATCAGATCTTCAACCAAAACCTAATATTAGATCAAGGGAACCTGAGTGAACAAACAACACAACAATGACATACTTATTTCATTTATTTCATAAACAAAGTTATGCAACACCCAATTCCCCTGTGTGAAAAAGTAATTGCCCCCTTACACTCATTAACTGGTTGTGCCACCTTTAGCTGCAATGAATCCAACCAAACGCTTCCTGTAGTTGTTGATCAGTCTCTCACGTCTCTGTGGAGGAATTTTGGCCCACTCTTCCATGCAGAACTGCTGTAACTCAGCGACAATTGTGGGTTTTCAAGCATGAACTGCTCGTTTCAAGTCCTGCCACAACATCTCAATTGGGATTAGGTCTGGACGTTGACTAGGCCATTACAAAACTTCACATTTGTTGCATTTTAGCCATTTTCATGTAGACTTGATTGTGTGTTTTGGAGTATTGTCTTGCTGCATGACCCAGATGTGCTTCAGCTTCAGCTCACAGACGGATGGCCTGACATTCTCCTGTATATTTAACTGATACAGAGCAGAATTCATGGTTCCTTCTATTAAGGCAAGTCGTCCAGGTCCTGAGGCAGCAAAGCATCCCCAAACCTTCACACTACCACCACCATGCTTGACCGTTGGTATGAGGTTCTTAATGTGGAATGCAGTGTTTGGTTTTCGGCAGGCATAATGGAACCCATGTCGTCCAAAAAGTTATACTGTTGGATCATCTGTCCATAGAACATTCTTCCAAGAGTCTTGATGATCATCCAGGTGCTTCCAGGTGCTTTTTGGCAAACTTGAGTCAACTTTTTGGATAATAATAATAATAATAATAATAATAATATGCCATTTATGGGTAACATTATGCCTTTGCTGTGTGAACACAAAATAAACTGCCTTCCTACACTCTGTTCAGAGGTGCTAAGTACTGTCGGCAGTCAGTGATGTAAAGTACTTAAGTAGTTTTTTTGGGTATCAGTACTTTACTTTATATTTTATATTTTGACAACTTTTACTTTTACTTCACTACATTCTTAAAGAAAATGATGTACATTTTAATCCATACATTTACCGTGACACCCAAAAGTACTCGTTACATTTTGAATGCTTAGCAGGACAGGAACATTTTCTAATACACACAATTATCAAGAGAACATCCCTGGTCATCTCTACTGCCTCTGATCTTGCGGACTCACTAAACACATGCTTCGTTTGTAAACGATCTCTGAGTGTTGGAGCATGCACCCTGGCTATTCATCAATTTAAAAATCAAGAAAATGATGCCGTCTGGTTTGCTTTATATAAGGAATTTGAAATTAGTTCTACTTTAACTTTTGATACTTAAGTATATTTTAGCAATTACATTTACTTTTGATATTTAAGTATATTTAAAACCAAATACTTGTATACTTTTACTAAAGTAGTATTTTACTGTGTGACTTTCACTTTTACTTGAGTCATTTTCTATTAAGGTATCTTTACTTTTACTAAAGGATGAAAATGGCGTACTTTTTCCCACCACTGTCGGCAGGCAAACTTATACAATCCTACCGGTGTGTCTGAGCTATAATTAGGGGACCCATGTTGCCTCAAGAGCACCCCCAGAGGCAAAAGTTCTGTATAGCCTATTTAATATGGTTTATACCATAAGGCAAAACCTGGACTGTATGATTCCTCTTCCATTTCCCTCTTTTTCTATTGCTTATCTGTTTGTCAATTTCCCAAGCTGGCTGGTGAAAATGCAGAAGCGTGGAATCACTCTGTGGCTGCTGTTGCTTGTCCAAGTCCCTGGACTAGACTCTGCAACATGGAATCTATTCAGTGAGTTCAATTTAGCCTGGTTTGTACTATGTTGTCAACTCCTACAGTCATTGGCATGCCAAAGGCCATGGCCATACAGCACAAACAGATCTGGGACCAGGATAAGTTCAGTTAGCCAAAGGCACAATGAAATCTGATATTCCCCTATCACAATTAAGTAATGTTAGTTTGTGAATGAAAATGACATGATGTTTTAATAGCAGACTTTCCAATGTATCAGGCATTGGCCAATCATGTAGTGTACTCCTCAAGTTCCTGTCACAATTACTGTTACACATGTTTGTTTGTGAATGACACTGTTTGTAGGACAATGACATGATATTTTTATAGTAGACTTTCCAATGAATCAGGAATAGGCCAATCATGTAGTGTACTCCTCAAGTTCCTGTTTGCAAAACACAAACAAGTTGGTTCATGCTTTGTACTGTAGTCTAATAGAAATGTAAGCAAACAGCATAGTTGCATAAATCCGTGGTCGTTTGTAGCTCATCAGTCCAATTTCTAAACTGACTAACTTAAGATCCTCACCCTCTCTGTGCTCACAGGTAAGTCCTCGACAGAGCCCCCACAGGAGGGTGAGGTGAGGCTGGTGGGGGGTAAACAGGAATCAGAGGGTCGAGTGGAGGTGTACCACGAGGGGAAATGGGGGACCGTCTGTGACGATGGCTGGGACCTGGCCGAGGCTCAGGTGGTGTGTCGTCAGCTGAAGTTCCCTGGCGTTATATCTGCTGTCACTGGAGGGACTTATGGAGAGGGTGAGTATCTTACAAAGGGTCATGTTCACTAGGCACAAAATTGGAGAAAATGGACTGAAACAGTCAGGAACTACCTGGGACGTATTCACTAGGCACAAAATGGAAGAAAAAAAACAGAGTGAAATGGGAAGGTACTATCAGATCTTGTGCAATAAGAAACGCTCCTTTTCATTTTCTGTCAGCACAACAATTTGAAACCTTTTGCTACAGTTTGCCTGATGAATATGACTCCTTGCATGAGTTTGCCACCAGGAGGCAGTGGAACAAATTAAGTATTAGTGGCATTGTCAATAACTGAATCCCAAATCAAACCTCAGCAACCCCTACCCCCTAGGGACTTTTGTAAAAATATGAGAGGATTGAATAAGTGTTAGCAATATGACCACAAGGAATTTGGGATTCTTGGAGGGAGCAAGTTCAGATAGGCAGTGATTTGTGGGAATGGCAGGCAGCACCAGCAGAAAGAGTCAACTAACATAATTTAATACACCACAATATAATATTTTGCATATTTCTGCACATGATTTTGCTTGCTCTTTGTTTATCCTCTATTTTGTGTATCCAAGGATCGGGTTCAATCTGGTTGGATGATATGAACTGCAAAGGAACCGAGAAGTCCCTGTCCAGCTGTCCTTTCAAGGGCTGGGCGTTGACCGACTGTTCCCACAAGGAGGACGCAGGGGTCGTTTGTGAGAGAGGTACTACACTTTTCCCTGATTCCTTTGCTCCTATCTCCTCGTCTCCTTCTGAAAAGTCTCCACGCCTCCTTCTCAAAACGGCAGAGATGTTTTTAGGAGGTGAGTTGAGAGGATGCAAGGAATTGAGGAAAATACATTTGAGATTCACCCAGTGTGTCTGCAGACCCTGTTTGACCAAGGATTAGGGAAGAAACATACATTTTAACCCATAAAAACTACACAAGGTTATTTTCCTGGTTAAATAAAGGGATGAATTAATGAATTAATACATGTTCCTAAACTTCACTGAAACTAAAATACACACTATCAGCCCTACATATTCCTACTAATCATGTACAGTCCTAATCATGTGCATTCCTCATACGGTACAGGCACAGATTTGACCAGTGACACAGCCCATTTCCTGGACCACAGTCTGGGCCTGTCAGATGACCTGGGCGAGCTGTTTGACCGTGGGGATGACTGTGACTTCCTCATCGCATTCCAGAGCCCCACAGGGAACAGAGATGGGGAGGGGAAGTTGGAGGTGGAGGAGAGGAACATCTGCACCCACAAACTGATCCTCTCTCTCTACCCACACTTCAACATCACCAATGGGTCCAGTAGCCTCTCCGTAGAGATTAGCCAAGCCTGCAGCCCCCATGTCACCAGCTTCATCAGGTACTAGTCTATGACCCTTAACAGGTGCTATTTAGATATACTGTATGTTTATTGGATTAAATACATACACAAGAATGTTGTATGTCTTAAAGGGGAAGTTCAGTATTTTACAACAATGTTAGATGGTTCCTTACCCTGAATGTAGGCTGTTGGCCAGGAGAAACTGTAATCCGTGGATGCATTTTCTTTGAACAGCTGCTACAAACTTCTAGCTAACAATCAATGGAAGTGATAGGGGTATCTGTGCAATTTTAAAATGTCATAGCCAAATCAGCTCAAATCAACTCAAATCAACTTAATTTTTGGTTTGAAATTTCTTTAAAAAGTGATTTGGCCTTCTTCTTTTTTTTTTTTTTTTTTTTTTACATTGCATGGATACCCCTATCACTCCCATTGATTTTAAGCTAGCGGTGGCTAAAGTAAGCTGAAGTTTGTACTGGCTGTTTTAAAGAAAACCTAACCATGGATTACAGTTTGTCCTGGCCCATAGACAAATTTCATCCAACATGAAGTTGTAAAATGCAGAACTTACCGCACCGTACACCCCAAAATCCAAATGTGTCAGATGATTTTAGACCTCAAAAGTAGACTGTAAAGATGAATCCATGTCTCGTTGCATCAATTGTGTAGATCCAGGGTGATTGTGCCTCACTTAAAGCACAGTTTCTCTCTATCCAACACCACTGGCTGAATTTCCTTTTTAGCTATGGTATCTCCTAAAAATGTTTGAATAAAAGTTAATTTATTTAAATGTCCTTGCTCTGGTTCTCTAGGTACCTTTACACCCACAAGATCGACGTGACCGTCTCCTCCGCCCAGTGCCTCCACAAGCTGGCTTCAAAGTTCGGGGTGAAACGGCTGATGCAGGACACCGGCAGGCTCTTCACCGTACTCCTCCCTGAGGACCCCTCCTTCCACACCCAGGCCTCTCTGTACCAGTACTCCGTCCAGACCGGGGACCTGCTGCTTAAGGAGAACTGCCTCCAGTACCTGGCCTGGAACTGCGAGGCTCTGATCAACTCCCCGGCCTGGAGTGACCTCTCCGCAGACTTCCTGATGGCCCTCTTGGCACGCTCTGACCTAGTGATACCGGACGAGGGGTTCCTCCTGCAAGCGCTGGAGAGTTGGATCATAGAGAAGGGTGACTCGACTGGCACCAAGAGCCAGGTGGCCCTGTTAGGCCACATCCGCTTCCCGATGATCCCCGCCGAGAAGCTCTACGACCTGCAGTTTACCTCGGAGCTCTACAGGAGCCACGAGAAGCTCTATCGTCTCAGCATGCTCAGAGGCTTCCAGTTCAACGCCTTGCCATTCGAAACTCTGAGGAAGCACAAAAGCAGCGAGAGTGAAGAAGAGCACGATTACTATCCCAGGATCTACACTGCTGAGCCATGGAGCTTCACCATCAACTCAACCAACAAGGAGCCACCACGCCAAGTTATTCGATATGATTACAACAGACGCTACAGCCACTACCAAAATCATTACCCCACTCCAGCCACAGACTATGGCAAGTCATTCACCACACCAAACCACAATAGTGTGATTTACCAGACCAAAGGCACCAACCCCCTCAGTTGGTCAGCAAGAGTCTTTAAGAACCAAGGAGAATGTTCCAGGTGTATTTCCTTCCCCACTGCCAGCCTCTCTCTCCAAAGCAGCCTTAGACACCAAAACCAGACCAACAGTGTTCGCTTCAGCAACCGACTGCTCCTAACATGCGAGGGCAGGTATGTCTTTCACGTTCAGGACTTCAAGAACAACATGGCCCAGATCCCTACTAACATCAGGCTGGCCCTGTCCTACCCCTGTCCTAAAGGCCAGTATGACTTTCGCTTCGTGGTGAGACCAGAATACATTTGATAGCACTGCCTGGCACAGATGCAACAGTCAAATCCATATGAGTCCCTTCTTATTTTATCT